TGAAGCAGTTCAGTATCAAAATCGGATTTATTTTTTCTTCAGAGCTTTCATAGATTTTCTTCTTCTACGAATAAGTAAACTAAAATCAATTTTTTTTATTTATCACAAACTGCCAAAAATAATTTCTAACATGAAATTGACTAAGATGATCCCTTTGGTCTTGCATTTTCAATATTAAGATTTGTATCACCCTATTCGCATTATATTAAGAGACTATCTGAGCTTATGGTCATTTTCCAAGGTCACTCTTGAGTTCACCTTTTGTCTTACTTGTTGGATGATTTCCCATGACCTGTAAATCTCTACAGAAGAGATCTTCCCTGTTCCATTTAATGACACTGCTTACAATTCTTTCCATCTCCAATTAAAACTTATACTTTGAGAACTTTTAACCATAAAAAAAGTTAACCTAAGAATATATGATTAATAAAAATATAAATACATTTTCAAAGCAAACGATACTTTAAAAAAGGAGGAAATAAATCATTTACAGAACATGATTTGTTCGGCGCCTCCCTTAACTGGCGCTCCGGTACAATTTGAAGCATTTATATCAATTATTCTAAAATAAACACTTCATGTTTTTTATTTATTGTATCTGTACAAACTTTAATATAAATATGGGTGAGATGTTCAAATCTAAATACTTTTTTTTTCGCTTTAAAATATTTAAATTTCATAGAATGATGAAAAGACTGCATAAACATATAAAATTGTGTTTAAATACTAACGGTTCGAAAAATAAAAGAATTCATTACTTTAACATGATGGAGCTTTCAATTGAACACTATTCTTATTGACGTATTGCAGAATTAAATAAAGAAAAAATACTTTGAAAATATATTTCAAGATGTTTTTTAACAATTTTTTGTTTAATAAAATACGAAAAACATAATTTGAAAATTAAAACAATCACACAACAAATTTATTTACTCTGGTAAATGATTCTAAAATTAAACTGAAAACATTAAATTTAGAAATGCACCCCATTTCGACAGAAGCAACATAATGTATTTTAACAAGCTTACAACTATTACATTAAATAAAAACTACAAGGGTCGTTTCCTGCATGTTTTTAGAGACAATATTTTTTTTAAAAAGTCATTGATATTTTAGTGAAATTTGAAACATTTTCACAAAAAATTCTAAACTACGCAATTTAGTTTTTATATTCATGAATTATTTTTCAAACTATAAGCCAAACACTACTTAACCTTTAGATACAAGACAATTAAAAAAGAGGTTGTTTAAAGATTATCAAATATGAATTCAATTTATAAAGATTTTGTACATTGCTTTCAGTTCTATGTAAAATATTGATTATTAACATTATTTAATTCTAATAGACTAATTATTTTAATAAAATTTACAATTTTAAGCCTTAGCTAAATGTTTCTTTAAATTAAAATATCATATGGTTTGTAATAGAGCAACACCTTGATAAGGATAATATTAAAAATTTCATGAGTTTTTAAAGATTGAAGTTTTTTTCTTAATCTATCAAGTTTTATTTCAAAGTTATACCAGTTAGGAATAAAAGATATTTGCAAATAAAATTTCGTTTAGATAAATTATATTTTTGTTATCAATCTCACTTGCTATATCTTAATCAGACTTAAAATCATATCATTTAATTTATTAAAAAAATTTTTTTAACAAATCAGTCTTACGTATTTAAATAACAAAAAATCTAACTACTTTTTTTTATTCATTAAAGTTTAATTAAATTTCAGTTTTCTAAAACATTAGGTATAGTAAAACTTAATATATATTTCATTTATTTATTCATTCATGTAATAAATGTAGTAAAATTATCGTATTAAATGTATTGTATTATTATATTAAAGCGCCATAAATGTATGCACATCTTTGCAGAGTTATTCAATAAGTTAAAACATTTCATTTTAAAAGTAGGGAGAAAAAAAATAGTAGTTCCTCCTAGAACAGTCTTTTTATAAAGTGTAACATGCAAAAACATTGAAACATATGTTTACCTCTTTAAAAATCTAATGAATATTGTTTTTTAATCGATTACTAATAACTAGAGCCCGGATTTTGATGGCCTAAAAAATCTCAACTAATGCTCTTAAAAAGTGCAAAAAATGCCCTTAAAAATCTAAAAAATGCCTTAAATAAAGTAAAAATATTGAATTAAAAAAATGTTTTGCCCTTTAAAATTATTATGAGTCATTTAAAAAATATAAAGCAATGCAAAACTTGTTCTACGTTCATTAAAGTTTGAAAAATTAGTTTTATATCCTAAAATAACAAAAAAAGGAAAATATATTGACACCAAAATATTTTTATTTCGTATAGAAACTTTAATGGATATAACAACTTCCATCTCATAATATTACTAAATATCAGAATTACATTGGATTATTAAATGTTTTTTGATAATTTGAAATGTAAACGAGCGTCTCTTGTCTGAAAGTAAATTTTCATTCCTGCAGAAGCTTCTTTCAACGTCTACTGATGTTCTTCTTTAACCCAGAGACATTTGTTGCGTGTGAGTATTTTTGTTACCTAATTATATTTGTTGCTTAATTAAACAAATTGTTAGAATTTTNATAAAATAAAGTAAAATTTAATTTATTATTATTTATTTTAATTTTAAATATGCTTTCTTAAATGAAAAGTTATATAAATACTTTTATATTTGAATTAATAAAAAATATACGAGAAAAAAATTTAATCCAAAAATTTGAATGGCCTAGGGTCCCGCGTCCGGCCCTGATCACAACTAAATATGGATCCGAGAATTTATATTTCATTCATACACAGCAACAAAAGTTTTGTTATGATGAATTTTCTAGAATAAATTACTTAAATTCTGAAGAACAAAAATTTGCAATTTAAAAATATATTTTCGGCCTCACTTTCTTTGTTGACAAGTTAGTTTTAGAATCTACAAAAACACTATAGTTTGTCTAAAATAAGAACTCTCCCAGACTGGACCTATGGCGATGACTATGGTAAGGAGGTAGGACTATTTCAAGTAGGGGTGCAGGGTCATTGCTTTGGAGTGGTTTCGGCTAGGGTCGACGAGAGAACTCTTTCTTTGATCTATTGTGTTGTTAGTCCCAAAGTGAAGCTACCCTCCCCAAAGGGTGCTATTCTTGTTTCCATAGCACCAGATGGCCTCAGACTTCGTGGCGGGAGGAGTTGTTAGCGCAGACAAACTATATCTGACCAAAAGTATCTGGACGCCCAGTTGTACGTACTAAGAGCGTCCTGAGGGCACATATTAATGAGATCTTCGCTTGGCATGGATGACAGCCTTCTGAGAAGACCAGGTTTTGAATAGGACTTCCATCACAGCTGTGCTCGCAGCGTCATCTGCTATTCGCCCAAAAGGTGTTCTGTGCGGCTCTGAGATGACCAGTTTTTGAATAGGACTTCCATCACAGCTGTGCTTGCAGCGTCATCTGCATTCGCCCCAAAGGTGTTCTGTGGGGCTCTGAGAAGACCAGGTTTTGAATAGGACTTTCATCACAGCTGCGCTTGCAGCGTCATCTGCTATTCGCCCAAAAGGTGTTCTGTGGGGCTCTGAGAAGACCAATTTTTGAATAGGACTTCCATCACAGCTGTGCTTGCAGCGTCATCTGCATTCGCCCCAAAGGTGTTCTGTGGGGCTCTGAGAAGACCAGTTTTTGAACACCCGTTTTCTCAAACTGTGCAAGCATCGATGATGAGAATGCTGGAAGAAAGAGTTGTCCACATACATCTTCAACCACAGGAACTAACAAACCCACACCATTATGCTTCTGCCACCCTAACAACAATTGGACACTAAGTGTCCGGACAATTTTGGACAGATAGTGTATTGGGAATTATTAATCGAAATGTGAACTTCAGGATTATAATACCACAGCCATAAAAACTAAATTATAATGATTCCAACGATTTACATGTTCAACTGAAGAAATTTTTCTTCTTAGTAAATACGTATTTTTTATTGTAAGCAAAACTTATAGGTGCCTTAAATGTATATAATCCTGTAAAAACCAAATAGCTTCATTGAATTTTCAACAAGATTCATAAATAACTGGGTATTTATCCCAAGTTACAATAGCCTGGGTATTTTACATCTATACCATAAATCAATCAACCCAATGAAACTGTCATGGGCAGTGGTTATATGCCTCCCCCTCAATAAATACAATTCCCTATAAATCCCCCCGTAGAAAAAAAGGAAAATTTTATCAAACATTATCGAATTAAATTCGTTAAAATTAAAACCAAGAGAAATTTTTTTTTTCACTGAATACTAGTTTGATTGTGTGTTTGAACTCCGTCCCCCTCCAAAAATGAGGCACTTGCAACACCCATCTAAAGGTACTAAGGACTAATATAACTATTGTGTTTATGAAATAGATAGGTACCACTTTGTCGTATTATTACAGATGTTTAAACATTATACTAAATCAATAAAAGTGCTTCTCTCAACTAATAAGTATTAAATGAACACAACTAACTTATTGGCTACTAACCGAATCATAATCTACATAACAGATTCATTAAACACCACTTTTCTAAGATACTAACATGATTTCATAGTCATCTTAAACTGGTGAACCCTGAAGCTGTTAACTGTGACAAACACTGCAGAACAATTAATATTCCTAAATATTTATGCCCTAAATACTTTTAATTATTTAAATTTATTTAAACCTAAAAAAAGGAATATTCTTTTAATTTTTTTTCTTCCATTTTTCACAATAATTAACTTATCAAATATATATATATATATAAATAATGGATATAAATTTTAACCAAAAAGAAGCTTACAGAATGAAAGTGTAAAAAATTTACGCATTTTATAGAGTACTATAAATTTAAATTAAATATTTTAATCAAAGAAAATTTGTAATGAATATAATATAATATAATGTTTATAATATATATAATATAATGTTTATAATGCACATAATATAATGTTTATAATGCATATAATATAATGTTTAAATGAAAACTAAATGAAAAGAATTTTTTTTTACTGCTTTCTGATATTTCCTCGGACATCAACAGTCAGTGGGTTGTATGTGTCCTGCGGGCCATAGGTTGTGCACCCCTACCCTACAGAATAATTTATGTTACATTACATTTTATTATTTTTGATTGGTTTTATTGGCATTTCTACATAACTTCATAGTAACTCCACACAGTGACTATATCAAGAATAGGCCCCCCATATATATATAGAGAGAGAGAGAGAGAGAGAGAGAGATTTCTCATTTTACGATAGTATTTAGTTTTATTATTCAGTTCACTGTGACATATGAAACAGAGAATTTTCCCATCGGTCAGAATTAGGGGGGCGTATATTTCCTCTGAGGGGGGAGGATGAGTAAGGAATTATTTGGTAGCAGCTTTCACCAAAGAAATGTTCACTTCAATTAGAGACATATTTTTTACATTCAGGCACACAAAAAATAATTTTTTTTTTCAATTGTAAATTAAATGACACAAACATTGAGTGAAAAATTGTGATTGTGCGAAGGGGTATTCTTTGAGAAAAAGTGAGAGGGGCCCGACCCTCCGGGTCCTGCGGTTCCTGGTTTCACAAGTTTCTTTCATTTGCAAAATAAAATGAGCTGTCATTAAAAAAAAAAAAAAATCTAAATAGTAAGAGTTTTTTTATTTCTAATGATCCCTACTAGAGAATATTTGTAAAAGGAATTCTCTTTTAACTATAGATACTCACTTATGTTACATTACAATATTAAAATAAAATTTTCAAGAATCATTTTTTAACTGAAGGGCAATAAAAATGAATTACGATATCATTGCCTGATGAAAAGCTTCAATAATACATAAAAGTAAATAACGGTCAACGAGTACACATAAAAATACCCCCATATTCAAGACTTGCCAGACGTGAAAGAAAAGTGAGGATAAAATAAAAGTGACGTTGCTAACGATAAAATAAATATGTGAAACAAAAACAGAAAAACCACAGCAGCAAAAGGAGAAAAAAGATGAAAAACAGAAGAATAAAAATTTTAAAAAACTACAGTGACCGAGAGTGGCAAATCAGAGCAAAATGCATTTCCAGAAGCTATGGAGAGGAGAAGCTATGGAACTAATGTCATTCACAAGGGAATCAACATTCACATAAATAAAACAAGATTCCAGGGCATCAAGATGAGCTGATGTGACAGGGGAGGAAATAATTTTGGCATTGTTAAAATTGAACTTATGACCAAGATTCCAACAATGTGCAGCAATGGATGATTTCTTGTATAACAGACATATCGATTGTAATTCTTATTAAACACAATGCCATTGGTGAAAAAAGGGATCATTAGCATAGTATGTTTATTGGCATGGACCTCTGTTTGTTTGCACAGATTTAATGGGTACAAAATTCATTTTACGTTACAAATGAATTTCAGAATGAAATGTCCCTAAATTTATTTCGTTGCCATTTCCCATATTTAACTTTACACTGTTCCGAAACTTTCTTTTGCTTGAAAATCTGCACATGAATGTTTTGTTATTTTATTTAGCAGTTGCCATAAATAATTTTCTAACATTTTTGTGGAATTTCTTACATTTGAAAAGAAAATTAAAATGTATGAATATTTATCCTTGCTTCTTTCAGAACGAATACTTAAAGAATGCACTATTTTATTGTGTACTCAAGAGGAACAAGAAACAATAGTTAGTAGAATATGCATGTATAAATTGATCCATTAGTTCAGTCATAGAACATTCTTTTTTTTAAAAAAAAAAATAAAAATGCTTAAATTTTATAAAAAATAGTTTGAAACAGAAATCTAAATTTATATGGTAAGCTTTTTATGACCTTTAAATTCTATTTGATGTTAGTTCAGTTTTTTTTCTATCTTGTTATAAAAAAATTTTAAAGTATATTTTTTTAAGCATAATTTCTTCCTTGTTTACGTCCTTATCTGCAATTCAAATCCGTGTGTTGTTTATTTTATATCAGAATGTAAGAGGAAGGAAAACACTGGGCTCACTTAGCCTTAAGCAACATCCATGAAAGGGATATTACTATCAATATAAGAACAGAGCCGTAATGGCTCATGGGATAGAGCCTTCCAATGAGGTGAACCAGACTCGAATCCCAGCGAAGGCTGGTCGATACCCATTCTGCATCCATTTTGCACCACTGTGCTAACGTGAAATATCCTCAATGTATGGACGGATAACGTGTTAAGAGTGCCCTTGTTGTCAGGCTGACTGTGGGAGGTTTTTGTGGTTTTCCTCTCCATGTAACACAAATGAGGGTTAGTTTCATCAAAGAGTTGGCCACAAAGGCACATTTCTTCCAATACTTGGTCCAGAAGTTCTCTTGCCTTTTGAATTGGGTTCCAAACGATGAAGCTACGGAGTCAAACGCCGGTCATCGAATACCCAAAATTCAGGTCGGCTGCTCGACGACGGTTATATGATAAAATACATTTTATAAAAAAATTTATTATAAATTAGCGATTAAAATAAAAAATAATTTTTTCACTAAAAAACGAAAGAAAATATGAAATATTAAAATTTAAAGTGTTGTAGGGGCATGAGGCGTACATCTGTCCTCAACAGAGAGTTGCGCCAAATTCATGAAAAATAATTATAAATGTATTCCAAAGTAAAATGCTTTCCACTTTTAAATATCTCCATTTTTATTTGCAAATTGCGGGGCTCTTCATTTCCAGAACTTTATATTCATTTCATATAAAAATTTAACTTGATGTCAAATCGTATTATAGAATATAGTTTTTAAAAATTATTTTAAACAAATGAGAAACATATTGAAAGAAAAATGTCTTTAGAAAAAATACTTATCATTGAATCCAAAACCTTTAAGTGGAACTTTACTGGTAACTTGCACAGATAAAACTTAAACTGAATAGAGTGAAGTTATCGAGTTACGTTGTCTTAAAAAACAATGTTTAAAGTTGAAAAAATACATTCAATGTAAAAAATTTTTAAAAAATCAACTTCACACACGGATTTAATTCTTTGCATTATCTAAAGCTCTTCCTACAACCTTGTTGCTCAAAAATGGGTTGCTGTAAAAGTGGCACAAATGCATTTAGTTTTATTTCGCACTGCTATTGAATGCACTTTGTAACAGCTTAAAACTGTTTAAGCCTAACACGCTCAAAACTAAGGGAAATATGGCCAGAATATAAAGAGAGTCTAAGGTAGAAGCCTGGCTGCTTGGGGCGTTGAGTAAAGAGTGTGGTAAAGCTACATTAAAAGAATAAAGCTTTTTATGATCTAATTATTCCCCTCTAAAAGCTTTTTTATTCCTCTTGCTAGTTTGTTGAAAATCACAGCAAAAACTCACTTATTTTCGTAAAATAAAATGTTGAAATATATCTAATATTTTGGCAACCCAATAACCCTATAAACTGAAGCATTCCTTGTTTTATCAGCCTTGCGATAATTAACGATCTGCAAACATAGAGGATGGCTGACTATTGCGTTTCCTTTAACGTTTCTTCAAGAAAGCCCTTTTTGGTGAGTGATAAACAGGACGTGCCTTTCATAATTTCTCCTCCCACTATGTTCTAAAGAAAAATTTTTTACGTTAAGGTTGACGCTCTTTTAAGGTAGGTAAAATAGGGAAGTTGCAAACATGGGTGCAACATTGGCCGATTCATAAAATTCATTGATACAAAATTAAAATCAGTTGTTATAAAAAGTCTGAAAAAAACTATGAATTGGGGTTCTCCAATCCACCACCCTATTTGCCCCCAATCAGATTTCTATAATTTCTGACCGCTACATATTCAGCGTGACACAAAATTTGAAAATATAGATGACATTCAAAATGCTTTTTTCAGTATTTTACTCAAGAAACGATCGGTTTCAATGAAAAAAAAAAGGCTTCTGATGAAAGCTTCAGTTTTTCAAAATTATTTAACACACAAAAATAATTAATGAAATTAATTTTTCTTAATTTCTATTAAATTCGTTGTCTATTAAATTCGTTCATTTCTATTAAATTCGTAAATACATAACACACACACTTCTATCAATCTTAGCTCTCCCCCCCCCACTCTCAAAATTAAGTATACTGAATGAATCTTGCTCTAAAGAGAAATGTATTCATTTCATGTACAGAGCACACAAAAAAATAATAAATAAATAAACGGACCACAATGCATAACTTTTGATCTAATGATTGGATCTTCGAGTTCTAGGACTCAATCTTAATGGATCTAGGGGGTGACCTCAAATATGTTAATCAGTGCAGACGATATCTCAAGTTATGAAATCAACCACAAAAATGTACTTTTTTTAATAAACATACCTTTTTTCGGTGGATTTGGATTTCTGAACCCCAAAATATAGAGGGTAACTACAATCTGATAAATATGGTTCCCATTATTTCATCAGGAAAGCTATCCAATGCTTGGACCCCTAAATTTTTCACCATATCTCAAGAATTTTTAAAAAGTATTGAAAAACTTTTGCACATAATTGTAAAATTCATTTATGTAAAGATTGCAAAAATAAATTATAATAAATAATCATTTCAGATCGTTTCATTTAATAATAGTCGAAAAACTTTTGAATTGCAAGGTATGATTTCTTTTACGTCATTTTAAGGAATGAAATTTTAAATGGCAAAATACAAAAACTGAGCGTAATGGATCGAGTCATTCCTGAGGAAATCGAATTTTGAAACAGTCATATTTGACTTTGCAGGAATTATTTGACTGATTTTTTTAATGTAATTAATATAAAATAATAAATATTTTCTTAAAGTCATATCTTGCAAGGAATATATTTTTGTATAAACAAATAATATAGTTGTGTACAAAAGTTTTAAAATTCGATTTGAAGTTATCGAGACAGGGCGGAATATGCCACACCAAAAAGTAAAATTAACATTAAGGGGTCCAAACATTGGATCCCTTTCCTGAACAAACTATTGGAACCCTATTTCATTGAAAAAAAGGTTATGTTTATTTGTGACTGATTTCGTAACTTAGAATATCTTAAACATTTATCAATTAGCCTATTTGCGATCACCCCCTCAAATTGTAATATTGAGTTCAGATCCGATCATCCCGCATTCTGTAAGTATTTATATCTTAGTAATTATTACAGAACTTAATCATTTCTTTATTTCCCTCTGTAGAATGAAGTAAATTATATAATTAGTTTGTACCTCATTTTGATGAATATATAAAAACTGTAGATATTAACTTATTTTCAAAATTTTAAATAACAATTATTTTACTCCCTTCATATTCATTAACCTTCATGGTGGGGGGTGGCAATAAATATTTTTGTTTACACTTAAACATGACGGGCCTTGCATAAAGAGCAAAAAGTTGTTCTTCTCGCATCATTTGTATTCATTTAGTTGTATTTGCAATACTTTGTTTTGATAATGTAAAGACATTTAGCGAGGAAAAGACAGTATTTAGTTTACATGTTCCAAGTTTTTGCTGTATCACTATCGATATTCACATTTGTTTAACTTTATATGACTCACTTGTTTTATAACTATTTCATATAAAAAGAATCACTCGCTTACGAGTTACAATGAAATAGGCATCACTATTTATATGCCATATTAAATTGAATAGCTTGAAGAAAGTTATCTCACAAAGTAAGGATGGCAGGCATACCGAATATATACACAGGAAATAAAGCGTAACAGCTTTAAAATTACAAAATAATAAAATAATTCGGATGATTTAAACTTACTTTTTCAAGTGCTGGCCATTCAATTTGCGTTAGAATAACAGCAGACTTTCCGAAAATCTTCGGCACAAGCAAATTACAAAACAACTTTGTTTTTGTTTTTGAGTTGGCGACTCATATTCAACCAACACCCTCTGCCGCTCTCTCTCTCTTTCTGTAGGCGCCAAGCAGTGACACCACTGCTTACGCGAAAAGGAGTGACATCATCACTGTGACGTTCATTGGATCATTCGATTTGAACAGTGGGAGGGAACAATGAATCTTCTCTTCATTTTATTATGGTAGCAATTTCTTTGCCTCCTAAAGAGGAACATCATATTTGATTTAGAAACATTTTATCGAACTATAGTTATACATTTTAAATTAATTTCAGTGAAGGAGGAGGGGGCACTGACGTCAAAAAGAACCTCGCGGCGTGAGGGAGGGGGAGGGGGGAAGGTCCAGGAAAATAATAATAGACCTTGACTAAACTTTTAATATAATCACTCACTCATTATTAAGATAAATTTAATTTTAATAGGTAAGTGCTCAGTACCATTTCTAAATTCCACCTTTTCGTCGACATGACGATTTTTTAAAATCTTAAATCAAAATAAATGAATGATTATAAATGTCCGAATAAGCGTCTTTGTTTATTATTAGAATTTTTTGTGGATCTTCAAAGCCAAACGTTTGGAAGTTGTAAAGATCTTGCGGGGAGCAGTGCACCTAAATCTATGTAAGACATTGATGGGAGTTGAAAATAAAATACGCGCCTTTTACGGGATATGATAATTAAATGACGATTTCTCTCGAATTAGAACTCATAGTAGACAACATTGACTTCAATGATCTGCTGGGAACCGTGTCTTAACCACTGCGGGACTAGATTTATGCAAAAACGTGCACAAAGAAGGGTGTACGGAGAAAGAGGGTAGCGGGAGAAACGTCTAAGGATACTAAAATCATTAATTATTTATTGTTATGAAATTAAATTTTGAATGAATAAGCAAAACAGTTTAAGAAGATCGATACAGTCAATAATAACGATTCTAATAATGAAAAGGAGAAGATTCTTTATTTTTAAAAATCAAGATTGTTATCATTTTGAAAATACAGTCGAACCTCTATTTAACGAAGTTGCTAAATTCCGATAATAAGTTCGTTATATGGAAAGTTCGTTGGACAGAAAATCGCCTTTTAAAATGCTTAGACACAAAACAGGTTTTAAACTCATAAACACTAGACATAACAGAAAAAAAAGCATTGGATACACCTTTATCTTGTAAACTAGTATCTACTATTCTTTTTTATAAATCTTAACACTAAAAGAAATGTGCATGGAAAACAAGAATAGAGCAAAACATTATCCAGAGTTGCACTATCACGCTACATACATTTTCAACTATAAAAACAGCTAAATTTATGCATAAAATTTTGACTGTATTTATTTTCTGTATACTAACTGTAAAGTAATTTTATATAGGAAAAGTGGAAGTTAAATATCGCCATAAATTTCGTTCAATAGAAAATTCACTTCGCTATTTGAAAGTTATTTTACGAAGAACTTTCCAAAATGTTCTTGGTTCCTAAAAAAATTCGCAAGATAGAAAAATTTGCAAAATGGAAGTTCGTTAAGTAGAAGTCCGACTGTAATAGTATTTTTAAGAATAATTTTGGTTCACATTACAATGACAAAAAAAAAAAAAAAGAATTAAAACAGAGATTGAGATTTTTAATTGCATTGACTTCGCCCCTCCTACAGTCATTATATATTCAGGGGCATCTCACATAACCTGGACCCAAGTAAAAGTTTTGATGGGGGGTCCTTATGCCGCTGCCAAAGCTTAGATGACAGTGTAAATTCAAAAGAATGTCTCCTTGTAGTTGAAAATCCCACTTGGAGGATGTTGAAAATCGAACCACTGAATGCAAGCGATCCAATAGTTTCTGACATTTTTTAAGTTTTCATATATCCAGGTAGAAAAAAGACACTTGAAATTGTCTGCCCAATTTTAAACATTCCATCAAAAAACTGTTTCAGAGACATTTTAATTTATATAAATAATCACGGTGTATTTTTCTCATGGACCATTCAGTGCTGCCAAGTGTTTGTCTTCTGCGGGGTGCGTAGCTTTTTTAAAAAGTGCTTATTTTCAATTTTCGTTTTTTAAAAGCCCTTGAAGGTGCGTTTTTCATTGAGTGTTTTTAAAAAGTGCTTCATTTTCCCTTTTACAAAATGAGATTTTTCCTTTACTATGTTGATTTTCGCTTCGAATTATGCAAAAAGACACATTATTCTACACAATTTAACCCCAATCTATTTTGGCGTATTGTCAGTGCGTAGCGTATGAAAACGACATTCGTAATATATGATTCAAAATTTCATGATTTTTGACAGTGGTCAAAAAGAATGCCGAATGATTTTTCTCTCTTTTGGTATGGCGGTTAAAACAAGATAAATCCGTCAATTGTCTGTTAAATATTACTTTACCAATTATTTTCTATAATGAATTAATTTTAAGTGTGAAATGACTTGACTTACCTTGAGCCGGTTCTTTCGAAAAATATTTTTATTAATAACATAGACGGCAGGAAACACATAAGAAACAGGAAAGAATATGTAGGGACAAGAATTCAGGCGTCTGGTGACATTCATCGGCACCACCAGCGGAATATTTCGTATTTATCATTTTACATTAAAACATTGTCAAAGACTTTCCAGCCCTGCCGAATTATGATAATTTTGTAAAGTGCTTAAAAATATTTTTTGAGTGCTTGAAAACTGCATAAAAGGTGCTCATTTTTTGTTGAATAATTTGGCTACGCACCCTATTCTGGGACTCTTGATACTTCTTTTTGTAGATTTGGAAGTTTCTGTTATTTCAGTAGTGTTGAATGATACCAGTTTTGAAATGGAGTTTGAAGATGATACCGGAGTGTCAGACTCTGTCGAAAGGTCTTGAAATATCAAGCAAGAATTATTATTGGCTGCGCATTCTCTGCTGGGCCCCCTTTTTGCATCGATGACAGCCTTCTGTGGAAGACCAGTTTTTGAATAGGACTTGTATCACAGCTGTGCCTGCAATGAGTATTCGGCTGGTCGCGTAATCCGAGCTTTAATTCGTCCCTAAAGTGTTCTATGGAATTTCGATCCGGGCTATGAGAAGGCCAGTCCAGTTTTTGGGAACACTCATCATTTCGTGAAGCAAGCTTGGATGTGTGTGAATGGAGGGAATTTTGTCGTCATAAGGGTCGAAGCATGGTCAACATACATCTCAGAGTTGTTTCCAACCACAACCCCCCAAACATCACCCCATTATGCTTCCAACACTGTCCAGATCTTAAGAAGCTTGTTTGGGTTTTAACTACCCAGATAGCAAAATGAGGTTTATTATTCAGCAAAAACCTTTCAATGTAAACCTAAAAAGGTTTGTGATGCGGTTTATGTGTAAACCTTCTAACCTTAAAACGAGATATTTGACAATCTGGCCTCATCCAAAACCTTGGAAAACAACTTTCTATATTAAAACCTTAAATCGAGATTGACTTAGGATTTCCAAGCGAGATAAAATCCTTTCATAAAGCTAGTCTCAAAGGGAAAATAATCTTAACCCTTTGTAACTCAACAACTCTGATTTAAGAAATATTTACGCCGGTGTTAGAATGCATCCTATTAAGCGTGTAAAAAATAATGAAAAAATTAAGATCTTAAAATTAAAAATTTATTGATAAAAAGTATTTGTTGAACATCTCCAATATCGTGAAAAATATCACAAAAATTCAAATATATTTAAAACTTCATGTGAAAAATTTTGAAATGGTTGTTTTTATGGTAACAAAGTCTCACACCACATTTTGCAATCCCTCCTTATATAATCAAGGGGATTGTTGTAAAAAAATTGTACATCCTGCAATTATGTTGTGGAACAATTCTTGCTAAACGCATTATAATATTAGTAGCTGCACCAAGACTTGGTTCCCCCGAGTTTGCAATATTTTCTTTACCTGAATTTGGTTCGATTTTATAGGTAAATCCAGCTCATTATAGGATTGAATTTTCATGTATGTTGCAGGTATGCAACGCGGTGATACAAAGGGTTAAATCTAGGTCATTATGAGATTTCTTTTCGCAAAGTCTTGTGTGCTCAGCTATAAAATCCACCGTGCCGTGATATTTTAATGGACAATGCCATTATTGATCCCTATTGCCAGTGTGACGTCAGCTGACACTTTTTAAAAAAGCTTTAAAAAATACCGTTTGAAACTACAATATTTTTTCTTCATTGATAAAAGGTTTTCAGTACAAACATTTTAGTGACAATGAAAAGAAAGGTTGCCTGGGTTGTTACTCATTTTGGAATTTCCTCTTCTAATATTTTGATTGAGATCTTTATTTTGTGTCATTTTCTCCTGTTCCTTACTTCAACACGATGATCTGGTTTGTCATTTGTAAATGCTCTGACTGGTTCATTCGTTTCTAACTCGTCATTTTCGGCTTGTCGTTGAATAACAGCTTCAAATCTTTCATTCATTGATTGTTGTTGGGATGAAATTGTGGCGTAACTATTAAACATCCATTCACTCGCTAACTTGATTCAATCTTGAGATACCTTTTGATACACGAAGGTTTGGCATTGTCTAAGGTTCTTCCTCCACAAAATCAAACGTCAGAGAACTAGTTGCAGACACTGTTTACAGCTCAGGATTAAATTAACGGAGTTCCTGATAGGATGTCGATACTGATTAATTTGTATACCATAAACAGTTCCATGCGAATATTCAGGCATAAAATTACAGTTTTGAAAGCACTGATCACTAAGTATGTAACTTCATGAATCAATTAAAAATTCACTTCGAAATGGAAACTCCCCTAAAAACGGTAATTTTTGCACATAGCCCATTCGAAGAACTCAATCGGGTCTGGTAAAGCACCCTTCATTAACATGCAGTCCTTACAAAATAACACAAATTTATTAAATGACGTTTCTAAGATCTTTTAGGAACCACGATACGATATTGTTTTGTATAATTAATGTGTTATAACAATTAAAGTGTTTAATTTTGCCGTCACTTAGAAATGCACGAGTCATTTGTTTATGAAATCGTTTTTAAAACTTTATTGTATGAAAAAGGATAATTTTAATATCACTTTCCAGAAAAAAAACTCTCGAATTGAAATTCATGTATTTATTATTCTTTAACGTTAATTATAATAAAGAATTCTTAATATATTATTTTTTCAAGGCTGTGTATTTTTGACTAAAATTAACTTCTGTTAAAATAAGTCGATTAGTTAGCGTTTTTCGGCAAATTTGTAAATATATA